CTTCTGTAAAGTAATACAATTTCTGGGGTTGAAAACTATCTTCAAGGCAGTTGGTTTGTGAAAGAAAACTGCCCATGTGTGCTGGGTGGGTAGTCCTGTAAGATGGGTAATGCATTCCTCCTGCAGCAGGTGGTGTAAATGTCCTGTACCTGTGATAGTGGTGGTCCAACAACTTTTGAAGTAGTTTTTACTGTCCTCTCTAAGTGTATAGTCCTTTGATGTATTGTGTCCACCCATATCGGTATGCTTTTTGTAAAACGCTTTTGAATTATCGCTCTTGAGAACTTCACAGGAGACAGCCGCTGATGTTTAAGGGCAAGGACAGCAGGTCAGTGACCTGGATGCCAAAGAACTTGAGGGAATTAACTATTTCAACAACAGTGATATAAAGAACTTAAAATCATTTTTAAATCATTTTTAGCATTGATCAATGGATCAAACATTCACAGTGATCTAGACACCAGGACCTCAAGCAAATCTTCTACTCGGTCATATTCCTTCATGAATACAGAAATAAACTCAGAAGACTTTTTTTGTTGATCATTATCCATCTCACAACCTGGAATGTAATGAAATATAGAGGTATTCCAATAGAGGAACAACACTTCTTCAAAGCTTACTAAAGGTCTCTTGGCTAAGATTATCCTTTTAGATCATTAAGCCATTCTGAATCTGAGAGGCAGTCTCATTTCATGGCCCTTTGAGGTGAGTCTCACTGACTCTTGGGATGCAGAGGGTCGCAAGGAAGACCCTGCTCGAGTCTCTAGCACTGAACTGCTCAGGGGGCTCCAAGCTACCTGGCTACTGGGTCAAGGTAGGTAACTACCTTTTCCACAAACAGCTCGAAGGCAAACTAACCGATTTAGGTAAAATTCTCAATTTAAGATTTTTTACCAAATTATTCAACCGAACAAATTTGTACAGCCGTTTAAAAAGGGTTCAAGCAGAATTCACTTACAAAGACAAAGTAGTGAATTTCATTAAATTAACATTTTACCAAAAACTAAAAAAACATTGTGTGGTTATGTTACGTCCCCTCGGCCAGAACTGAGCTATTTACTACAACCATGTGATGAGAATTGGTACTACACCAGATGTAAATAATTACTGCATCGCAAAACTCCACGGAAGAGAGCATATATCATTGTTGGAGCCATGGGTGGATGTAATTGTCTTTGTGGTATTTATCTAAGGTTAAGGTAGTCTGTTATATGGGTATGACGTGACGCTCATTTTTTTTTGTGTCCATAAGGTTTAGTTAACTTTTAAAGGCTTAAAATTTAAAAATAAATGCACAAATGACATGCTTTCATCCTTTCTTATGAGGACCTAGTCTAAAATGTATATTTATTATACATTTTTAGAGAATAATTGGGGTATTTAGGCTTTACATCCTGTACATTTGTGTTTTTTAATGTTAATTTTATTGTTGTGTTGTTACTTTGTTGTTTTTATCTCTGCTCTGTAAGGTGACCTTGAGAGTTTTGAAAGGCGCCTTTAAATAAAATGTATTATTATTATTATTATTATTATTAATAATAATAAAAATGTCTAAGTGGTGTAACCGTTGAAACTTCGTACCAAAGAATTAAACTTGCTTTAAAAAGGTTAAATTTTCATACAACACCCTATGAACTAGCCTGGCATAATCTTACAATAGAACTGTTCAATAGTAAATAAAAGTAATGGAACATCATTGTTCTTATTATTATAATTATTTTAGGGAAATCATGTCACCCAGTCAAGTACCAAATTGTCAACATGGTGTAACCACCATTGAAGGAGCCATTTTGTTAATATATTCATCATATCATGTGACAAGAAATGTTATCACAAAGAAGAACCCCTGATGGTCCTAACTGCTGCAGGCCATGTTTAGCAACTCTCTTTAAAACATGAGATAATTGGACATTTAATTTGGACACAAATTTGATTTGAAGTGGAAATGTCAAATGGTGTAACACTATTTGACTTTTATGACAAGCCTTTCTGTTAGAGGCCACTTTTGTCAAATATCAGTATGTTTATGTTGATTAAAGTGGTTATTCATCCACAACCTTATTATCAAAGGTCTAGGACAAAATGCCCTGGCATTTTGTAAATGTTTAGCTTCAAATTGCATATTGTTGTTCCATTTACTTACATTTATAAAGGTGCACTATGTAGTTTTGGTAGAGAAATGTTAAAGTTGGAGAAATGTACAGATTATGTGGTATATGTCCATCATAACTCTAAACACAAACTGTCCTCAGATGAAAATTTGGTCCCTGTAACACTGAAGATAAAATGCTACTGGAGAAGTTATGGTGGTGGGCCCGCAACAGTGAAACCGTAACTCTCCTGGTAATATATATATATATATATATATATATATATATATATATGTTATATCTCCAAACAGTGTTCCAGGGACCCATTTTTTACTTTAAATAAAGTTTGTGTATTCAGTTCAGAAAATATATCAAAAAATTGTTTCACTTCTCCAACTTTCAAATTTCACAACCAAATCTACATAATGCACCTTTAAACATGTATGATCTAATATATGTATGTATCCTGTAATATTGGCACCAGGAGTTGCATTTTAGATGTGTCGGCTATCAGGGGCCATGTGGTAGGTAGTATCAGCATGTCACTACCTGGAGCTTGCTTGCCAAAGTCTGGTACTATACAAGGTGGCAATGCTGTTTGGGCTGTGATGGCCATGATGTAAAGAAGGAGAGATGTAAAGTGTTGCCTGTGGGTATGTTATCCTTTGATTAGGGCACAAGTACCTTGAGTTTATTCCAAATACTGAAGAAATGAATTCCCCCTGAAGATTCTGGTCAGATGTTGTAATTTACTTAAGATATGAATAATTAAGGATGCACTGATCCTGACTATGACAGCTAGATCAGGTATCAGTAAGAATTTGCAGATCTATGAGACCCATCCAAAAGATCTATGCACTTCAGCTATATTCAATTTCTTCAAGAAACAATGGCCTTTGACTGTAGAAGCAGTATGGTCAGTTGGTGTAACTGGTTTGCGTCAATTGGTGTAACCAGTATTTCTTGTAAAAAATATAATAATATACAGGACAATGAAAGTTGAATAAACATAGTCCTCTATTGCAGTGAAATAACATGTTTTTTTTAACAATTTTTACATAATTTGCCAAAAATTAATTTGAAAACAGAGGTGGTTTCAGCTTTGTGTCCCGCTCAGTATTGAAAAAGGGCATAACTTATAAATTTAGGGATAATCCTAATAAAATCTATTTTCTTGTGCTATTTTAAAATGAAGTAATTAAAATCATGAGTACACTTACATATACTCTAGATGTATAAAATATTCAATATTCTTAATTTTTCAGTGGTTACACCACATTTTTAGGTCCATTTAGTCTTACCTTTTGAAAAAAAAAAGTTTAAATGTCATTTTAAAAAACACAAAACCAACATGAATACAAATCTCACATCTTAATGAACCTGATGCATACTTTCAAATTGTGTTTTTAAAAGATTTTTGACTTGGTCATCTGAACAACCCTTATTTGTCACTGACCCATATATTGGTGTTTTGGGTTATTGATTATTTTATCATTTATTAGGATTGTGTTGAGTGGGGGGGGGATGTCGGGTCACATGGGTGGACATGTGTTGATTTAACTCACCTGTTCACTTTTTGTTCTCAGTGGAAGAGAGGAGGTGAGCTGGTTTACCATATTTTTTTTTGACCGCTATTGTTTCTAGTTCACTGTGATTATGAGTTAATGCACGTTATTATAAGTTAAGTTGATTATCTTTTTACGTTAATAAAAAAGTCAAACTTATTTTGACGTGACACAGTATTCTTTTGAAAGCGCGTCGGACAAATATATTAGGCGCCCAACCTCAGCCTCTCAGCGGCTTCATTGTTCAGGAAAGCCGCTATAATCATGCTTCGTCTTTTACTTACTTTGAGTGACAGGACATACTAAGGACATGGCGCAAAAAGAGAATTTTCCTCCGCTTTATGGCAGCAGTTTCGGGGTTTGTTTTTCTGCTCCATCAACATGCCAATAATGTCCATAATATTATGTCCTTACACTACCATCTGTTGGATGAACTGAATAGCCCTTACGCAGACGGCGAGACTGGCTTGAAAGCAATGATAGGGTTTTAGAGCTGTTCAAACATTATGAGGTCTAATGCAGTGATTTGGTCCAATTAGGCTACAGAACAAATTGAGCTGTTAAGTGCAAGATGAACAAAGCTTAAACACAAAGTCCGTATAATATGGTTTAAAGGTTTCAAAAGTGTCCAGGCAACATAGCCTATTTTGGCTTTTTTAAATAAAACACCCATTTAAAGACCATTCCCATTCAAAGAAGGGAATTTGAAAATCACAGATTTAAATATTTGCAAAGACGACACCATCAGAACAAAGTGCAACGAACACGGTACAGCAGAAGTAAAAAAAAAAAAGTTGAAAAGGTAGGCTACAGATATTTAAGAAAAAGGTATGATCAATCTAGCTCTCTATTGGTCTTACTTTGGATAAAAGTACACTTTGACTTCTCTTCACTGACAAATATAAATTAACTTTCCACCATATTTCAATAATTGTTTTATGGTCACTGATTAACATGTTGTTATAGCCCTTATCCATGAATGAAGAGGTCAGAGTCTGATCCAACCAATACAGCTGGTCCTTGGCCAAGAGTCAATTACATAATGCTTCTCCTTCACAGGATAAATAAATAGGGTGACTCCAGGAAAAGAAAACAATCACAGAGGAAGTAAGGACAGCACAGGTTTATGTTGGACTGAGTTGAGCCCTTTCTTGGATGATGGATTCTATCTTTTCTGTAATTGGATGCTTTGTCGACTGGGATGTGAAAAGCTTTTTGCTCTTCACAGTAGTTTTCATTCTCACTGCTGACTATATTAAGAACCGTCGGCCAGCCAGCTATCCTCCAGGACCTCAAGCATTTCCTATAGTGGGCAACATGTTCTCTGTCGACCACAACAGGGTCATGAGAGTATGACACAGGTAGCTCAACAAAAAACAATTAAGAAAAACAAGAGGTCAACTGAAAGGACTTATCATCCTTTAATCTCTTGTTATAACTTTGTTTTTCTTTGAATCCACTCACAGCTAGCAGGGAAATATGGAGATGTGTACAGCCTGCGGATGGGCCAGGAGTGGGTTGTGGTCTTAAATGGGTATGAGGTTTTGAAAGAAGCTCTTGTAAATCAGGGAGACAGTGTGGCTGACCGCCCACCCCTCCCTATGTTACAGGACATAAGTGAAGAACTTGGTAAGAGCATGTAACGCACACACACACATGCACTAAACACAACTAAAAACATATGCAAATGTGTGTTTACACACACAACTCAACTCACTTAATCTGGCTCCTGTGTAGTCTTTAGTCAGTGAACAAGTTGATCTAAAAACATGTTTGTGACAAAGTATTTCCCATCAGGTATAGTGTTCAATAGCGGGCACATGTGGAAGCAGCAGAGGCGCTTTGCCCTTTCAACTCTCAGATATTTTGGAATTGGAAAGAAGTCACTTGAACCTGTCATCTTAGATGAATTCACTCATTGTTCAACAGAAGTCCAAAGCTTTAAAGGTAAATATTCAATTACATGATCGCACCTGCAATGACAAACAACAACAAATACACAAGTTATAACTGCTTTTCTGTTCCAATTTGGAGGTAAGCCCTTCGATCCAAAACTCATCATTGGCAACGCTGTCTCCAACATCATCTGCTCCCTGGTTTTTGGGCATCGATTTGAGTACACTGATGAGAAGTTCAGGAAACTGATCAGCTGGTTTGAGATAGCACTCCAGTTTCAAGCCTCAATTTGGACACAGGTACCAATTCTCAGCAGAGAATGTTACAGACATAAAAATTCCTTGCAGAAATGATTCCTTTTTCTTTTCATCTGCTCAACTCTGCAGTTTTACAACTCGTTCCCTAAGCTGATGAGATGTTTGCCGGGGCCACATCAGACAGTCCTGCGGGTGTGGAAAGATGTGAAGGACTTCATTAGAGGAGAGCTTAAGGAGCACAAAAACAATTGGGACCCCTCGGACCCAAGAGACTTCATTGATTGCTACCTGAAGGAGATCCAGGAGGTGACTGGAATTTTGTATTGTTTACACTGTGCTGTTAAGGAAGACACTAAGTGTTCAGTTGTGACTCACAGCACTATCTTTAAGGCCGTGCCTCTGACAGAAAACAACCCATTTAATCAAAGCATTAAACAAATAAAGCACAGCCTATAAAACAATTAACAAGGTACAAGTTCCAGGACAGCTAAATGTTTTTGGGTTGACATGCAATATATTTTCAGAGTAAAGGGCAAGCTGACAACACTTTTGATGAGGAAAACCTGGTCATTTCTGTGTTTGATCTGTTTGTGGCCGGCTCTGAGACCACATCCACCACCCTGCGCTGGGCTTTCCTTTACATGGCCAAGTACCCAGAGATCCAGGGTAAGAGCACTGACCAGGCCAGTTCTTACTGGATGATGTACAAATATGTTAAAAAGACATTTATTGACACATTGCATGCACTCATCAAGTCTCTAATATTTAATTTTGCAGCCTGTTAATGAATTAATTTTTTAGCTCCTGACTATTTATCTTCCTGTTTCACAGCAAAGGTCCAGGCTGACATAAACAGAGTGATTGGACAGTCCAGACAGCCGTCAATGGAAGATCGTGTAAACATGCCCTATACTGACGCTGTCCTCCACGAGGTCATGAGAATGAGCAACATAGTACCTCTAAGCCTGCCTCATATGACCAACAAGAATATCCAGCTGGGAGGCTACACAATCCCAAAGGTCAATATGATATGATATGATATGATATGATATGATATGATATATGATATGATATGATATGATATGATATGATATGATATAATGATAATATTTCAATCACAAGGGAACTACAATAATCCCAAATTTGACCTCGGTGCTGTACGACAAGAATGAGTGGGAGACCCCCTTCACCTTCAACCCAGGACACTTCCTGACTGAGGAGGGGAAGTTTGTGAAGCAAGCTGCCTTCATGCCTTTCTCTGCAGGTGAGGAACAAAACAATCCCAGTTTTCTAAGCATCTTTTACTGTTAATAGAGGATCCTGGGCTTTTACCAGCATAATATGGGACCCTAGGAGGGGTCTCATATAATATTGTAGATTGGCCAAGAGCAAACGTTCACTATCAAGAAGAGAACAAATACATGAGATCATAATCAGATCCAGATTTGTTCATGGCAGCTTGTTTACTTTTGGAGGGTCATGTTAGAAAGATTGGCAGTGGGAAGAGTTAATAAACACTCACTTGCATTCGAGCCCAAAAATATAAATATTTACATAAAATTAAAGTTCAATTTTAAGAAGATAATTTTCAAAAGTTCTTTCAATTATGAAACCATTAAAGACTGAAGTCACACATTGTACAAAGTAAATTAAGAGATAAAGATTTAGAGTTTTTGAACAGTTTATCTTGGCAAGTTTTTGAATCTGTTCTTTGGTTAATAACTCACTTTTCTGAGTTTTTTTTTTTTTACAAGTTCTTGTCTGATTGATTTTCAGTTTTTCAGGTTGTTTTCTTGTTTCAGGTAAGCGTGTATGTCTTGGTGAGAACTTGGCAAGGATGGAGCTTTTCCTCTTCTTCACCTCCTTCATGCAGCGCTTCACCGTCTCCATGCCTGCTGGGGTCAAGGCGAAGTTGGACTACCAATTTGGTGTTACTATGGCACCATGTCCTTATGAAATCTGTGCAACATTACGTTAAGAAAAGCTCATCAACATGAGTTCTGATTATGAAACTCTTCTTTCAGATACTTTGATTTCATTAGTTACAACAGCCCATGTTGTTTAGTGTTGCTATCTCTTTTATTTTGTAAAATGAATGTCTTAAGCACTCAGCAATTAAGCCTGTCTTCAAGTTCAGAATTCAGATAACAAGCAACTACATTATACAAGTATTTCTCATTTTATTTCATTTCATTTTATTCTTTGAAATTGAAGATGTGTGATACATTTCAAACTTAGAGCTATGTGAAATTTTGTATTTCAGTATTTAATATTTTATTTTTTTAATTGTACATGATCTATCTACGAGACACATCACATTATATGGTAAGTAAGTTCATTATCCCTTTAGCCCTACCCAGATATGCTCAATGATATTGTAGGATACAGTACGGTTATATTAGCATCATTTTTGTAAAGCTCAATCTGCATTGCATAAACTGTATGCTGTTAGATTAATTTTAATTTACAATTTTTGGGATTCTTAACAGTTAAATCTTCTCCTTAAATCTTCTCCTTAAAAATGTGGTTCTGCTTCAGGTAACAGCGGGCCTTGTAAGACACTTGTTGATATGCTTACTAATCTGTAAGATGAAATATGCTTATTGACCTATTTTATACCAGAACCCGAAGATTTAACTTACACAAGATCTTAACCCTAACTGTTCAACAAAGATAAAATCTGATCTTTTGGATAATACTTTTTGGATTAGAGCCGACAACACAAAATCCACCCTGCGATATTGATGACCTTGCTTTAGGCTTTTACTGTAGATATTATAATTTCTGCCATTGCACTGATGGTCACATCCCTTGCCAAATGATTGGATTTAAATCTTATTTAATCCAATAAGTGAAAGTTTTCACATAACTTTAAAAAAAATGGAATTCACAACATGGAAATATCTTGTTATTGTGAGAAAAGGGTATTTAGATAACTAATCTGTTATTTTTATTTTTCTGTCACAACTGCTACATGTTGCCATAACTTTCAAATATGAAGCAAGGCTTGAACTCATCAGGTGAACTTAACATATGTTTTACATATACAGTATTTTGGCACACGGTTATTGTTGCAGACTTAAAGAATAACAAATACTGCAGGGTCTGTCTTTTTAATGGTTCTTTTACTCGACTTAATTTTATCA